TTCTGGGCTGCACTACAAGGAGTGTTGTAAGCAAGACACGAGGAGCTGTTCTTCTGCTCTATTCTGTGCTGATCAAGCCTCAACTGGAGTATCGTGTCCAGTTCTGGGCACCACGTTGCAGGAAAGATGTGCTTCCCTCTCCCCACACAAATGAACACAACAGTTTTCAAGTATGTAAAAGGTTGTTACAAGGAGGAGGGAGAAAAATTATTCTCTTTGGCCAAGAAGCAAGGGGCTTAAACTGCAGCAAGGGAGGTTTAGGTTGGACATTAGGAAAAACTTCCTGCCAGTGAGGGTGGTGAGACACTGGAATAAATTGCCGAGGGAGGTTGTGGAATCCCCGTCTCTGGAGAGATTGAAGAGAAGGCTGGTCAGACACCGGTCAGGGATGGTCTAGCTCGTATCTCAACTACTACCTACACCAGCAAGGGTTATGTCACTCAGGGATGTGAAACCACCACAACCCTGTGCAACGTAAGCTTCACCAGCGTAAGTGGCAGAATGCACAGTGCAACGCTGGCAAAGAGAGTTTCTCTCATTAACACAGCCACTGGGGCTGGTGTAATTACGTGAACAGGAGAGCAGCCTCCTGCCAGCACAGAACAGCTACATGAGCCATCTCTCAGTGGCACAGCTGCATCATTCAGTAACCTCACTGGTGGAACCAAGGCCTTAGTGCTGCCCTGAGGGCAGGGCACTGGACTAGAAAACCTCTCGAGATCCCTTCCAGCCCTACAATTCTACATGGTCATACTACAGAGAAGAACGCCTGCTAACTCCTCCATCGGGTGCACACAAGCGACGGCCATCGCGCCAGTGGCGTACCAAGCATGCATGGGCAAAGCCCGAATGCTCCCCGGTTGGCACAAGACCAATCGCAACGTCTTCATAGAAATTCGTCAAGAAAACGCGTGTAAAGATCTCATTCTTGTCACCAAAAACGTTTCTTCCCTTAAAGGATGTTGCAACAATATCCTTTACTACCACAGGAGTCAACAACGGGATGCTGTTAAAGGCAAATGCACATTTGGGTCGCATTAAGGGACGCATGGCATGCAAGTCACGGGAGGCGACAGGACTGCTCCATTACATGCTGGTTGGGCCCCAGCTGGAGCACCAGGGTCAATTTTGGTCCCTGCTGGAGAGAAAGTGGGAAGGATCCAGAGGTGAACAACAAGGCTGATCAAAGGCACTGAATGCAAGCCACCTGAGCAAAGGCTGTAGGAACTGGGTCTGGTTAGCTTGGGAAGAGGAGATGAAGGGGGTCTTCGCACACTTGAACAACTGCCATAAAAAGTTGCGCTCACTTGCCATGGGGCAAGACAAGAGGCCATGGGTTCAGACTACAGCACAGCAGGTTCCGGTTGCAGGAAGCCCCTGAGTTCCGACCCCCCACACTTATAACCATTTTTGTAAGTGTGGAAGGGGCCGGAAACCCGACTTACGTCCTCGGCCCACATTTACAAGAGCGCACGGCGCCTACCGTAAATACAGGTTCAAGTTATGACACCCCCAACTTGCGACACTTCCTCCAGAACCCATCGCAAGTCGGGGGCCTCCCTTAAATCTCACGAAAAAACTTCCTGTCAGAACAGCAGGACAATGGAATCAACTGCCAAGGGAAGTTGTGCAATCTCCTCTCGGGAGGTTTCATCATGGCTAGGCATGCGTCTGGGATGGGTCAGCTACAGCTAATCCGTTCGGCCCCTATGATTCCACAGTAACAACAGGAGCAGGGAACTCGTGGAAGGAGGAGGCGCTGCCTTTCCAACGGTTGGGAGCCCACGACGCAGCTGGCACGTCTCCGATGCTGTACAAGGCTGTGGCAGGAAAGGACTAAAAGCTACTAACTACAATTTAGCAGAGCATTAGAAATGTTTGCTGGCAATCAAGCCTGTCCCAAAATTCCAACATATGTCTAGAGCCTTGCAACAGAATGGATGTGTCTAACAGAGGGCCTTTCCTCGACACAAAATTTGAATGCTCCTCAATTATTGCTGCACAAGACAGACAGTGAACAATGCTAAAAATAGAGGTGTTAAATGCTGCCACCATGTAAGCACATACTGCATGATGGTGGGAGGACATTATTCTCACTGATTGCCATCTTCAGCACTTGTAACCTGGCCAGGAGACAACAGACGGGAACGTGCCTCACGTCCAATCTCCCAGACTGCAAACCCAGTCCCCTGCTGCTCTGGGGACCCACGACTGCTCGTCTCCTCCCCCACAGTGTGAAAAACGAGTGCCCCGTGGGAGCACAGAAATACACGAGTCAGCTAGAACTTCGGAAATCCAGAAGGGGGACCTGCCTGCATCCTGCACCTGGGATCATCAGAAAAGCAAAAACCCAGCTCCCTTTGCAGATGGCTGACGGGCCGAGGGTTCGAATTACTCCCACTCCCCAGGGCTGAGGTGTTTTGAAGATTGACAGCCTGTGACGTGGGGGGAGGGGGGGCTGTCCACTCTTTTGGCACTGGATCCACTCTGGTTTTGCATTCACTGGTTGCTGGGTGTGACCCCAATGCCCTATGCTGGGCTGCAGAGATTGTGTGTGTGCGTGCGTGTGCTGCCCAGTGGGGGATGGGCCCTGAGGGGGGCACGTAGGCCACGGCCCAGTCGCCTGACACCTGGGCTAGGTGGAGGAATCTGAACAAAGCCAGGGGGCCGAGTGACCAGTTGCTGGGAGTGTAAGTTAGTCTGAGCTGGGGGAAGAGGAGAGGAGCCTGAGAGCAGGAGAGGGGGGTTCAGGGCCTGTGAGCCCTTCCCCCCAAGAGGAACACGTCTGTCTGCTCTCAGTGTCTGAGCTCACATCGCTCCTCTGTTACGCCGTGTCCCTGAGAACCAATAAAACCTTCTACTCGAGGGTGCAGGGTCGGGGCTCCCCGACGCACCGTCACACAGCCAGTAGGGCTTCCTGAGACTGGAACAGACTCCACGGCCTTTGCATTGCTGCTCTGCCAGAATTCACCGAAGGAGCCTCTCTCGGACTCCCACCACTTCCTCCCACTCACAGACCATTTGGGAACCAACCCTCCTCCCCCAGCTCTACGCAATTAATTGACCACTAAAACATTGGGCCGTCAGAATCCACAACGTCCAGGGTGCGGCCAGCTTATTTTGCCAGCGTCCGTCTCACGGCCTTTGCATTGCTGCTCTGCCAGAATTCACCGAAGGAGCCTCTCTCGGACTCCCACCACTTCCTCCCACTCACAGACCATTTGGGAACCAACCCTCCTCCCCCAGCTCTACGCAATTAATTGACCACTAAAACATTGGGCCGTCAGAATCCACAACGTCCAGGGTGCGGCCAGCTTATTTTGCCAGCGTCCGTCTCAGAGCTCCTCCCTGCTGGTGCTTCACGCCCCTTGCAGAGTGTCGGGAAGGAAGA